GCCTCCGCGCGACTTTGTACCTCGGGGGACTTTGTACCTCGCCGCACTTTGCATCTCAGCGACTTTATACCTCGGGGGACTTTGTACCTCGGGGGACTTTGTGCCTCGAGGAACTTTGTACCTCGCCGCACTTTGTACCTCGCCCCGCTCCACACCTCGAGTCACTGCATATCTCCGTCATCCTGAGCCACTTTGTATCTCGCGGCACTTTGTACCTCACGTACCTGGACTTGTTACTCCCACACCTGCCAAAAATCAGGCGGGCATTGACGCGACTTAGTGTTTCTGGCCTCCTCCTTACTGGCAACATATATATGTGCAGGCGCCTATAGGCGCATACATACATACTTCCTGTCGCTCACGGCTGCCTCACCACTCTTGGGCGACGGCGGGCGGGACTCATCGCTCCCACTCGATAGAGCGTGCACACTCACACAATCAGGTCTAAGTACTTCCCACCGCCCTGAGGCCCCGCCCAGAGTCTTCACAACTGACACCCCGTTTTCAGTTCTAAGCACAGAACGCGTCGCCTCCAGCAAGTCGCGCCTCGGTCGTTGCCGAGATGGCATCACACGTGATCGCGCCCGGCTCGTCTCCCCCTATATGCGCTCCCGTACGCGTACCCTTTCCTTCACGGCCTCAGCAGACGTCTACGATATTTTGTAAGGGTCTCATCCCTTTGGATTTCGACGCAAGTCCCGACCGGTCCCGGCCTTCGATCACTGTACAGTCATCTCATCTTCAAGACTTCGACACCCTTTCATCGGACCCCTAGCGTTTCGCTCCTGGGACGTACCGGCGCTCCGGATACCACTGAATGGGCCCGCCAAGCTTATTTCCTAGACGCATAGCGGTTCTCCAGGTCTCCTAACGTACGCTTTACGGTACTTTGTCTGCCTTTCTGAGATCTAGTCTCTTTCCCTTGTGCTTGCCTGTTTCTCCTACCTGTACTATACTTCCTGCTGGCTCGATCCCTTCCTCTTATGTACATCATACACTTTGTGATCTCCTGTACTGCCAACGCTCAGCTTACCCTGTTCTACTACATATACTGTACTATAGCTTGTTATCTATTGGAGGTTTCCCCCTGGTTGCCCCCTTCCAGTTCGGAGCTCTCGCTCCTATTTCATTGTAGTGCCCTCGCACTTACCGCATTGTTGGCTGGCGGTTGTTGGTGTTCTTCGCCTTCAGCGCCAGTCATACGCATCACAACGCGAGGCCGCATGTTGAACGCGAACGCGTTCAATCACGGTGCGCGTTCAATCGGCATTGTGTTCATTGTATTCGAACACGAGGCCGTATGTTGAACGCGAACGCGTTCAATCATGGCACGCGTTCAATCATGGCGCGCGTTCAATCATGGTGCTCGTTCAATCGGCATTGTATTCATTGTATTCGAACATGAGGCCGCATGTTGAACGCGAACGCACTCAATCATGGTGTGCGTTCAATCGGACTTGTGTTCAAATCATGTTGAATAATTAATTACATTCAATCAACTATTCTATCGAGTTGCGGACTGAAACAGTACTCGGGTCTCTAGACATGCAGCATGTGCAGCAGCGAGTTCTCCTGTGCATAAGTGAATATTCAAAATTATACCATTAGCCACTATCTTTGGTTAGCTGACCAACCCTCTCCTGCATCCTACTGAGCCCTGCAATAAGGCAAACAGACTTGCCATCTCTCATGGAAAGGGAACTCTACGACAGGTGAGCAGGGCTAGAGGCTGACTGCGTCCCTGATCAAGCACGGGGCGCCCGGCTCTTGATGGCCGATGAGTGCGGACCGATTTGATAATCGGTCGCATCAGTTGTTATCGGGTTTGATAACCCTCGGCGTTTACTGGTGGCACTGCGCACGCGCTGCTCGCCCATAACAGTCTCTTCGTAACATCATACACGTCTTTGACCGATGCGAGTCCGGCTGCAACTGCAAATATTGTGCCCGCAATACCGCATACTGCACATGCGTCTAGGATAGGAGTTGCCGGTGTGCCGGTCTGTAATGCTATGGATGCGATTGAAGTACAGGTGGTGCCAGAAAAGGCTATCTGTGACAGTCATGACTCAGTTTGACCAGTCAGCATCCTGAAGCGCAGTTTACGTACCATGGCGAACACCTGTGCTGGACGGGAGGAGGTCCTCTGCTGTCTCGCAAGGTGCGACGTAGTGTCCTGGACCGGTGAGCCGTTTCCCTGAGCTGGACCTGGCGAATTATGACGAACGTCAGTCAGCCACGTCATCGTGTAGCCAACGATGTTGTACCTATAACAACCGGCTGTTGAAGACGAGGAGGGTATGCGTTTACAAGCACGGGGGAGGGCAGCTGAATCTGCGAAGATGACACATGACTATCTAGATGTGCGGAATGAAAAGTGACTTCAGATGCTCACCGCGCTGATACTGGCATCCACACCCGGAGAAGGGAGGTTTGTGGCGAAGCTTCGAGAGTCTGATGCACGATGCAGAGTTACTACTTGGGCATCTGAAGCCTCATCGTGAGCAGTGCGCCTCTAGCACTGACGAAGGTATAGACATGACGCGCACCGTTTGATTCTGGTGGAGGTTCATGGCGGACAGCGTGAACACTGAGAACTGCTTGTACAGGTCTTTGTGTGCCGGCTGGTGTGTCGCAAAAGTCTGATGGCCCGATAGGAATAGCCATCCCAGTCCGAGGACGGAAAGCGACAGGACACTGCGATGCTCTGTCCAAGTGACGGTTCGATGCCGCCGTCTTTAAAGCTCGCAGAAGATCGTGAGGTATACTAGAATCAGTCCCCACAGCACGGCCGCTATTCGGTTTCAGAGCACACACAAATCATGGGCGTGGGTACGTGCACCAACAACTTGCCCGAGAGGTGCCCGAGCAGGACCGTTCTGGTAACTGATACCCGCACTGTTGCCCCTTTGCCCATATCTAGCGATGCAATCCATATCCTCAAGCCTACCGACGTCTTCTGTCGCTGCTTCGTGTGTTCCGGCAACACAACAACATTGACCATGGGGATCCTTGTGCGCCTCATCTCCGGCGTCTGTCAGGTTCTTCTTGCTTCTCGTGCCTAAGTTCCTCTCGACCGGCGAGCCTACGCTCCCAACCAGTCAACATTCCTCATTGTGCCTACGTACCGTAGGTAGCCGAGGAAAAGGTGTTCCCCCCC